CGTGGCACTCAGTGCTCTGGGCTGGGGGACAAGGTGGGCATGGGGCACAGGGGGGATCCATGGGCTGGGAGGGCTTTTCCAACCTTTTCCAACTGATCCTGGGGTTTCACTCAGCAGGAGGAAAAGGCTTCTGGCACACAGGAAAGATAAAAGGTCATCCCCCAGATAAATCATTCTGTTGTCCCTTCTCACACACCCACCAGAGCCCCTTGGGCACAGGGGGGATCCATGGGCTGGGAGGGCTTTTCCCAACCCAAATAATTCTGCAATCCATTGATTAAAAGGTGACTCATTTACCAAAGCTCCATTCACTCCCTAAAAGGTGATTCCCTCACTAAAACCCTCCCTTTCTTTGCTCTTTGCACAAACCCCCCCTCAGACCCCGGAGCGGGTTTTGCCGCCACCGGAGAAGGGCTGTGGTGGCACTTTGGGGGACAGCACCACCAGAACCAACATCCAGGGGGATTGGGAACATTCCCTGTGGAGCAGAGGGAGCAGGATTTGGGTACTCACTGGAGAGGCGGCTGGAGAGCTCGGCGGTGAGCGAGGACATGCCGCCGGCCCTGCCCGGCGAGATCGGCGTGGCCGGGTGCACCGAGGGCGCGGCGATGGAGCCCAGGTACTGGTAGGACTGGTCGTAGGACCACGGCGGGGACGGCTGCACCTGCCTCGTGTCTGCAACCAAAAAGAGACCTATAGGCCGTTGGGAAGGGCAAAACTTGGCAAAACCCTAAAAAAACCTCCGCACGCCCCAAAGCGGAGCCCGAAGAGCACCCCGGTGATCCCGTCTCGGCACCATCACTCCCCACTCTGTCAGGACACCTGTGAGTGAAGGGCTTTCTAAAATATCACCTGTATTTTTTCTAATTTTTTTCTATTTTTTTCCTATTTTTTTCCAATTTTTTTCCTAATTTTTTTCCCTAATTTTTCATTAACGGCGGGAAAGGAAATAATTCGGGTTAGGATTTCCCAGGGGAAAAGTCACTAGCATTTGAGGCTGTGGACTTGCAGGCCCTTTTAGCCAAGAAAAAAGATGCCCTGCAAGGCAGCAAGGAGGCAAAACTGCTGGACTGCCTGCGAGTGTTTCTCTGCAAGGGTGTAAATAGAGAGAGAAAAACTTGCTGAAATTGTGTTTGTGTGTGAGAGAGAGACAGAGGTGGAGAGCGACACCAGTCCAGATAAATCAGTTTATCTCCAGAAGGCAGATCAAGGGGGTGAGTAGGACTGGGGGACATGAATCCCTCAGCTTATGGAAAATCCTGGGCTTTGTGAAAGGAACAAGTATTTTGTCCATCTGCTTTGCACACCCT